CATCTCTGAAATAATAATAAGAATAAAAATAAAAATGATATTTTTCTTATTTAATAATAATTTATATATATGTATATGTGTGTACATATATATATTATTTCTTTTACCTGATTATCATGTTCTATATGTTAGTTGTAATATTCTTTATAATCTAGTTTTGTTTTTCTTCGAGGATTCTTTGTCATCTTTGAAATAATAAAAAAAAAATGATATTTTTTTTTTTAATATTATAAATATTATATATACTTTAATAATTGTTTATATATGTACAGTATATGTATATATTACTTCTTTACCTGCTTAGCATTCACACAATACCTATGCTTATTATAATCGTTTTAATTTTGTTATCGCTTGTAGTTTGTTTGCAAACAGAAGTAAAATGAGTATAATTGTCATTATATATAATCTTATATGCTTTCTTGGTAATTAATAATTAACAATGTCATTACGAACCCGATCAAGAGAAAATTCGAGGAGTGTAAAGCTTTCAACAATAATAACTTGTTTTTTTTGCATCGGCTGTTCAAAAACTCTTGTGTGTAAAGTTTTCTATGTAAAGTTCTCTTTTTACTATGAAACGTAAGACATTTTTATTTTTGAAGGGGTGACAGTTTTGGAATTGGAAGATCGGCAAATATCTATATGTGTTACATTGAGTTGTCCCCCCATACCCCTAGATTCTACATTATTACATTTTGGATTTGAACACCTGTTAACTATCCCAATTTCTTTGAACAATGTATATATATAACAGAAAAAGGAATATTTGACGTGAACCAGTGGTATATCAGTGCCAAAAAATGGATTATATAGAATATGTCGGAAATATAGATTGTATCAAAAATATAGAATATATAGAATATATAGAATATATAGAATATATCGGAAAGATAAAAATTATATATATATTCGGAAAGAGAAACTTGCACTCATATTAATATTTATTCTTTTTCCCACACTACCACAAAAATTATTTCCAATTTAAAAGATTGCAATAAATCATTGCAGGATGAATGTTCCAGTCGGGTAAAAAGTTTTGACCAGGAATGAAAGACTTGGGCCCTAGAAAGAAAAGGTTGGGATCGTGAGTTGGTAAAAACTAATAATGAGATTCAGAAATTGCGTGATCAAGCTTTGGGAATTGCTGATGTAGCTAAGCAGTTACGAAGTGAAAATACTAACCTCATCTCTCAAAATGCTCGGAAAATCTTTCTCTTGCCGATTCTAAGGCCAAAATTACTGCAAAAATAAATGAAATAAAAATGCTTCAGGGAAAAATAAAGTCATTGAAAGGTGAGCTGGATTTATTCCAGAAGGAATCATCAAAAAAAGAATCCGAAATCTCATCCCTCAAATCTAATTTAGCTGAATTGGAACGAATTAAGGAGGATTTAATTTCTAAAGTCAGTGAACTGGAGCATCTGAAATTGGTGACTATATCTCGAAACTTATCTAATCAGGTAGAGTTGCCATCGGGAGAAGCAAAGTTTCAAACCTCTGATTCATCTATAATTGGTGGAGGTGACGAGGGACAGAGTACCATTGCCCTCACAATAAAAAATATAGCGAATTCTGATGTTATCTCTGCAGTTGATAAACCTAAGCTAAATTTTAGTAAGTTTTTAAAACGTAGAAATAATATGGATCAGACAGAAAAAATTGATACTCCCAAGTCTAGTGATACTATAATCAAGGCTAATATTTCAGAATCAACTAATGTGGAGTTTCCCACCAATGCCTCACAAGCATCAGAGATGATAAATTTTTCGGGAGGGGCCATCTCAGAAATTTTACCTATCCGTGGGGGTGAAGTAGTGCCAATTGTAGCAGGTAATTTGTTTTCGCCTATGTTTATGTATGCGATTCTTGCTTTTTTGATAGTTGTAGTGATATGGTTGGTCATTGTGAAACCCATACTAGATGCAAGAAAAAAAGATAAATTTTTTGATGGTGAAAAACATTAGATGCTAAATATATATTCCCAGGTAATGAAAAAAAATGCAATCTAAGCTTTTCGAATTAGTAGACTTTTTAGATCCAATCTTACAATATCTAGCAAATGACAAAGCTCTTTGTCCTACCTTATATGTTAACCGGTTTTGGTATTGCATCGCAGGTCAAATCCTATTGCATTGGATTATACACAACAAGCAAAGTTTATAGAGATATGTAAAAATTTGAAACCATTCCATGGACCAAGTGTAAGTATTGCGATAGTTTGCCAGATAATAAAATCAATGGAATTATTCAATCATGTCCAAATATAGTGTATCTAAATTTCAATGCTATAGGTAGGCTAGCAATCAGTGATACCGCAATTATCAATATTGCTCATTCATATCCGAATCTATTAAGACTAAATCTTTTTGAATGTGGATATATTCGTGACACTACTATCAGAGCAATTGCATGTTCATGTCATAATCTACAGTACGTATTATTGTGCGCTCATGTAAAAATCTTAGATATTTATGTTTATTCGATTGTAGTAGTATTCCCGATAATACTATCAAAGAAATAGCAAACTCATGTCATAAACTAGAACATCTTGATATCTATGATTGTGGACATGTTACTGATTTGGGAATTCGAGACCTTGTACGTTCATGCCCAAAACTTAAACACCTTGAACTTGGTCAATGTATAATTGGTAATAGAGCTATTAAGGAAATCGCCCGCAAATGTGTCAATTTAAAATATCTTGGTTTAGAGGGATGTAAATATATTAGCAGGGAGGCAATAGAAAGACTTAATCCAAACATCAAAGTCGAATGTCCTGGTTTGGATAGCGAATGGTCTGATTCAGATAGTGAATGGTCTGATGAAGAGAATGAGTAATTGTTTAGAGCAATTTACAAAGCACAATAAATTTTTCGATGTAATAGTATGCAAAAGTAAGAATAATTTTTTCGATTTTTTCGGTAGTACGCAAAAGTGCAATAAAATTTTCGATCCGGTAATACGTAATGGTAATACGTCAAAGTATGATCCAATTTTTGAACCGGTAGTAAGAATAAAATTTTTGAATCGGTAGGATGCAAAAGTGCAATAAATTTTTTGATTCGGTAATACGTAAAAGTAATACCCAAAAGTAAGATTTAAAATTTTTGATATGGTGATACATAAAAGATTAAAATTTTCGTTCCAGTAATGCGTCAAAGTATGATCCAATTTTTTGATCCAAAGTGATACGCAAAAGTGATAGTATGATCCAAAGTGATACGTAAAAGTATGATCCAATTTTTTGATCCAAAGTGATACGCAAAAGTATAATTTGATTTTTGATGTAATGTATCCAATTTTTATATGGTGATACGCAAAAGTGCAAACAAATTTTTTGATTCAGTAATGATCCGATTTTTTACAGGAATTTTTTGATCCAAAGTGATACGCAAAAGTGATACGTAAAAGTGATACGTAAAAGTGATACGTAAAAGTAAGGATAAATTTTTCGATAGTAAAACGACAAAGCATAGGTCGAATTTTTGACAAGAAAAAATGATATTCAAAAGCATCAACTACACGAGAAAGTGTTCCAGGACCGCAAAACATAGTATACTTTCGGCGATAGCCAAAAGTATAATTATTATAGAAAAATATATATATTATAAAAATTGTGCCTTTGGATAACACCAGGTAAGTATACAATTTCGGCACTTCATACCTCATCCTCGATTGGTATTCGAATGCGTCATGCAAAACCAGATCATGAATACTATTTCGGCACTACGTACCTCACCCTCGATCGGCATTCGAATGCAACGTACAAAGCCAAAATACAGAATGCCAATTCGGCATTTCATGCCCCACCTCCGCAATCGAAAAAATTGGCAATTCGCCTAGGAAATGTATTGTTTATAGTGGTATAGGAGATACGTATTTTTTTTTACGAATTGGTTTTTTGGTCTAGAAGTGGGGGATAGAGGTTCTATCTATACGTTTTTGTAGTAATTTATTAGACTACTCGATCAATGTACAATTTGACCACAAAATAGTCTAATTTATTAATAATTACAAATGACATCGAATTTGTGGATCAATCGTCATCCAAACAACAACGAATTCGTGGGTCAAATCGTAACCAAAATGATGACAAACCCTGTGCTAGATGATGTCTATTCAATACAATTTCCAGATAAATTTTTTTGACTTCAACAGGCACATTTGCACAATTATTAGTTAAATGTTCTTCCATTAATTGAGGACTTCCACGTGAACTTCTGTCATTACAATATGTGTCATATTTTTTAGGAAATCTTTCATTTCCTTTATCAAAATAATGCCATACACTATTTGGTGGTCTTCCACTCTTTTTGGAATCTGGTAAATAAAGATTTTGGATTCTAGGATTATTATTATTATTATTATTATTTAAAAAAGTTATTTATTAATTTCGAATTTCGATTTTTTCGAAACCTGTTAGGGTATATTCGAAATGCTTGAACCCTAATCGTCGAAATTATTGTCGAAACAAAACTATTTCGCCATCATGTATGCTTTAAATTATGATCATACTTTCCGGGAAGTCTATAAGCTTCTATAAGCTTCCATACTATATTTTAAGAATTGTATTTTTATTATTTAAAGTAAAATTCAAACAAATAAAGACAATTTTACAACAATAAAATTATCAGTTCATTAACATTATTAACATAATTGTGATAATTATTTGAACGTTTACAAAATCATTTAACAACTGTTAGGGACCATAAATAATACTAATAGAAAGCCCACATTCTGTTTAATATTCTGGTTAGTG